CCACCAACCTATCCTAGGGATGTGGGACTTCAACGTGAACTGCAAGCACACAGTTTTTGTTTGGGTGTTGATGCAAGATGTCTGTGGGGAGAGGAAACATCCACTATGACTTCTGCCCCTTGGCCTCCTCACTGGGGTCCCAGCTTCAACATGACTGGAAGAGCTGCAGTGGTTTCTCTGCTGAAGGAGGTGAGATCGATCAGAACCACTCTTCCCAGGCCCAGTCTTCCCACTTTAGCATGATACACTGGGGAACTTGGGAATCTTTCATTTCACGTGGATCTGTGGACACCAAAAGACATAGACACCATTAAAAGTCCTGACAGCTTGGTCCCCTGTCACTGCCCAGTACACAAAGCTGTCAGGCTGAAGCCATGGCTCTGCCTTTCTTCTAAATGTCCAAAGCACTTCCTCCTGGTAACACCTTCCTGGCCCTACCATCATTTCTCCTCTGGTTTCTTTCTCCACAGAGTTCAGGCAGTTTCACTTACACTTCTCCCTGTAAGGTATTGTTCCAAGCCTTAAATCAGTTTTTTAACCTTTCAGAACTTCAGGCACAAGAGTTGTGCATAATATTCCAACACCAGTCACACTGGTGCCTGACAGAGGAGAGCTGTCACCTCCTCTCTCACAAAGGTTCTGCTCTTCCCCCAGGCAATCATCATACTGTTGCCCACCTTTCTTTCCTGCTCACTGTTCCCTCTTCCTTCCCAGCAGAAAGGAGACATTCCCTCAGGACATTTTAGGGAGACCCTCTAAGAGGATGCCCACAGCAAAATGAGTAGTCCCAGCTCAGGATAATGGGGACACCCCTGCTTTTGCTTTGCATCCCAAGTCTGTTACTTCAAGTGGAACAAGACACCAGCCATGAGAGCAGCTCCTTTGGCAGCTTGGGTTTGCAAGAAATTCCCCCTCTCCAGAGCCAGAGGGGAGACTTGGCTTCCTGAGCTGCCAGTGAAGTCTGTGTCCTACAGGGAGTCAGAACTGCTCCCTCAGAGGCTGAGCAGGACTGAGCCCCATGTCCTGAAAATGCTCAAAAGGAGGTGACAGCTAGGGAGGGTCTGCTCAGAGCTGAGCCTGTTTCAGTTTCCATCTGTCCCCGGCAAAGGGACTGGGGGAGTTGTCCTGTGTGTGTCTGTGTGGGCCAGGAGAGTCGAGTGCCTTCTACCACTAGTAAGCCTTGAGCTGGTCACCTCAGCAACATCTCCTCACATAAAAACCCCCTGGAACTTCATGAACACATCATGCCTGGTGCAAAAGTTCTTCCTGCACTACTGCAGAGGAAGAGCAGGGTGGTAAGCAACTCCAGCACCTTGCAGAGCAAAGCCCATGGACAAGGACTTCCAGTGGGAGTAGAGTCCCGGCATCCTTCATTGCTCCATCCACCCCTGGGCATGGTACCTGTGAGAAGTGTCTCCTGACAAATCTGGGACCTGTGCTCTGGAAGCCTGGGCTCTCTGGGCAGCTCTTTCCCTTGTTTTGGTGACATACTCACCTCTGCTCAGTGACTGGGACTTTCCAGGTTCACAGTGGTGTTGGGACCACTGGAGGACCCTGGGGCATCCCTGCTCAGAGCTAGATTTGGCAGCTCAGGAGGATCTCCAGGATGACAATCCCTGCCCCAGTCTGGTTCCTGTGACACCCTCATTATGAAGATTTTTTTCCTTAATGAGAATTTCTTTTCTCCAGCTCATGCCCCTACTTCCTCACCCTGTCCCTGTGCACTTCTGAAAGGAGGTGGGCACGTGTCATATCTTGCATCCCAGCACACAAGGGCAGGCAGAGTGCCCACCAGCCCTGATAAACATGCCAAGACAGCCACCATCCCCTTCAGGGCATGGGCTTTCCTCCCAGAGGAAGGCAGGGAACCAAAGTTTTGAAGTGGAAGGAGCTCTGGTCAGGGCATCCTGCTGCACAGAGCATTGCGGCTTCACAGACCGAATCCCCAGCACCTGACCCTACAGAAGCAACCCCGGAGTGACTTCCCAGCTGCAGGGCCAGGGCTGCTCTCATTCCCACCAGGAGAATCCCTCCCCTTCCGCTGTGTTTGCCCTCTTGGGCACCACAAACTGTAGCTGCTCCCGCTTGGAGCGAGGAGGGAGCAGCGCAGCCACATGCACGGCTGGGCAGGCGGGCGCCCTGGGGAGCTGGGGGAGGGGCTCTGTGGTCTGGCAGGGACAGCGCTTCTTGCAGCCCCTTCTGCTGCCCCGGAACGCAGCAGGCAGGAAAATGGAGTGACGGTGGTGTCTGGGCAAGGTTTAGTGCCCACAGGCAGCTGAGTGTTGTTCCTCCCACCCCCCAGTCCTTTGCTCTCTGCGTGACTTTTCCAAGGCAGCTCAACCTGCGGCATCTCCTGCTACATCCCACCCGGATCTCTCCGGCTGGCCTTGCCAAGGCACATCAGTGCTGACCTGCGGCAGCTGGCCACCCGCCCGCCTGTGCCAAGACATCTCAGAGAGACAGACCCCCTTCCAGCTTCCAGCATTTTCCAAAAACAGGCTTCTAGCTGCATCCTGATTCCCTACCCCGGGAGAACAGGGCTGGCAGCTGAACACTCTTCTGCACCACAAGAGGGGCCTTAAAATCTATAGGGTATGAAGTGGGGTGTTAGTGGTGCACTGTCCCCATTCCATCACCCCGATCCTGCTGCTCACCCTCCTCTGCTATGTTCCCCCAAAAAAGGTTCTTCTTTGGATTCCTCACCCCTCTGCAGCACCCCCAGCCCGAGCCATTTCCTTCAGGAAAGGGATCCTTGGAACAAGTCTGTTCTCCTTAACCCCTTCCACACCCGCACCCCGTTTGACCTTGATCCCCTGGAATCGTGGGGTCTGGGAGGGGAGCTAGAAGGGACTACAAGGTCTGGGGAGATGAGGAAAAGGAACGGGATGGGACTATCCTGTGATCTCCCTTAGGGAAGGGAAGCAAGGGGGGACATGACACGGCTCCCCCCCAAGGAAGCAGCGATGAAGATGTGCAGGGGTGGGGGGTGCATTACCAAGCACAGCTGGAGAAGGGCGGGAAGGACCGGGCAGGGAGTCGGGGGGGGGCGCGGGGGGGGGGGGGGCTCGGATCCTGCCGGTGTACCTGGCGGAGCAGAAGGTGATGGTGAATATTTTACTCTAAATCAAACAATAGGACCAGAGCCGCTCCAATGATTTTGCAGAATGCGTTTGGTCGGAGACGGGAGAAGGACTGGAGGGAAGGAAATAAGACCCCCGAAAATTTCTGTGTCCCGTCTCACCCCCACCCTCAATCCCCCTCTGGCCTGAGCAGCACTCGAGGGGGCTCCCGGAGGAGCGCTACCCGCTCCATCCCACCTCCGGCGTCTCAGCCCGGGAAGGGCTGGGCGGTGATGGACGGAGGGAGGGGGCCGAGCAGGGGGGGCGCAAATCGGGGATTGGAGGGGGATTAGAAAGAAACAGATCGGGGCGGGGGTGACAACGACGCCGCCAGGGGTGGTCTTGGCGTGGGAGATGGCGCGGGGGACAGGCTGGCAGTGACCGGCGCTGCCGATGCAGGCTGGGCTTCACTTACCGGGAGCCGTCCCGATTCCACCCGTGAGCGGCCCGAGCCCACGCGTGCCCCGGGCGCTCCGCTCCCTCCACCTGCCCGCCCCACCAGCCCTCCTCCCGGACCGGCGACCCCACGAGCGCGGCACGTCCCGCGTGGGTCTCGCTGCACTCCCAGGGACCAAATCCTCTTCCCAGCCCGACAAACCCCACCAGCTCCGCCGCCTCCTGCCTCCTCCGGTCTCCCGGTCGCCTCTGGATCCTGCTTCCCACTCGGGTCCCCGTGGGGAGCAAGGTGGGGCGAGCGGTTGGGGCCGGCGGTTCCCTTCCCAACGGGGACCGGTAAGCAGAGACAAAGGCGGTGAAATATCAGTGCCCGGCTAAAGCCGCTCCGAGCCCCTTCGAGCCTTTAACTAGATCGTTAGGGGATTATCCGCACCCTGAGCAGCCGCGGGGCGGGGGCAGCGGCCGCCCCGTCCCGTTACCGAGGGCCCCGGGGACGGGGACGACGACGGTGGGAGGCGACTCACGGAGCTGCCCGGGCGCGGCGGCGGCTGGAGACGGGTCTGCGGGGAGAACGGATCGGCCAGCGGAGGGACCGTGAGCGGTACCGGAGCGGGGAGGGGAAGGGGGGGCGCAGGGGCCGCCGTCTGTCGCGCTTCGGGTGCCGGCGGGGGACCCGCGGCTCGCTCTGCTCCCGCCTCCCCCTCGCCTTCCGCGGGGGGCGGAAAGTTTGTGCCCGCGGTGGGGGCACCGCTGGCGGTGTGGGGAGGCAGATCCTGGGGTATCTGGGCAGGATCGTGCGCCGAGAGCCCGAGGGGGCTGACACTGGGGTGCTCGGTGGGGGAGCAGGATTTGGGACGCGGAGCTGTGGGCAAGCGGGGTGTCGGGGGTGGGAAGGAGGCAGGGAAAAAGGGGGGGGGTCTCTATGCCTCCGCGCTGATGGGCTCAGCTTTATCCAGGGCTGTAATCCCCCTGCTCCTGTAATTAAAAACTCCGCATTACAAGGAAAACGGTGTGCAGGGAAATGTAATCAAGTCTGGAGGGGCTTAACCATCTGGTAAAGGTTAGGACCGGCACGGCGGGGGACGCGGCCGGGGGATTTGGCAGCAGCCGCGATCTGGGCTCCTCTTAATCTACCGCGGGTCCGAACGCAGCATCTGCGGGGTAATACCGGTGCCCCGGGCAGCGATCGGTCTTGCTGGAGCTCCCACTGCCGTTAACGGGGTCTCCCCGAAGGTGGTCCCTTCCTCAGGTGCGTCTGGCTCCGGTAAACAGATTCTGCTGTGGCCCCGGGACCCGGATTGCAGCCCCTTGCGGGGGCCAGCAAAGAAAGGGTTAAACCACTGCCGGTGGCCGCGGCTCGGCCCCGCAGCTCCGGGCAAGGCCCTCCTCCGCCGCCCCCGGGAGCCCTAAACTCTTTGAAAGTGCAAGAGGCAAGGGAAGGCGAGGGCAGAGGCGGCGGCGCGGGCGCGACTCCTCGTTCCCGGGACTGCCGCGGGGCCATGGGGGCCGGAGCAGGCTCGGGGCCGGGGCAGCTCTTCCTCCGCTCCCTCCTCTTCCTCCTGTTGGCCGGACCCCCGGCTCTGGGGCAGCTGCGCTACGCCGTGCCGGAGGAGCTGGAGCACGGAGCCTTCGTGGCCAACCTGGGCGAGGACCTGGGACTGGATGTGTCCACCCTGTCAGCGCGGAGGTTCCGCATCGTGTCACGGGCCGGGGCCAGGCAGCACCTGGAGGTGAACCTGGAGAACGGGATCCTCTTTGTGAACGAGCGGATTGACCGGGAGGAGGTGTGCGAGGCCGGGGGGACCTGCCTGCTCCACCTGCAGCTCCTCGTCGAGAGCCCACTGGAGCTCTACCGCGTCGAGGTGGAGGTGCTGGATATCAACGACCACGCGCCCACCTTCCCTTGGCAGGAATACGTGCTGGAGGTGGCCGAGTCTGCCGTGCTCGGTGCTCGCTTCCCACTGGAGAGCGCCCAGGATCCTGACGTGGGCACCAACTCCGTGCACACCTACCGCCTCAGCCCCAACGGCTTCTTTTCGCTGGAGGTGCAGACACGCAGTGATGCCAGCAAGTTTGCAGAGCTGGTGCTGGAGCGTGCCCTCGACCGCGAGCAGCAGCGTGTGCACCGGGTGCTGCTCACTGCTCTCGATGGTGGCGTCCCCGAACGCTCAGGCACGGCGCACATCCTCATCACAGTGCTGGACGCCAACGACAACGTGCCTGCCTTTGACCAGCCCTCCTATGGTGTGAGCCTTCCTGAGGATGCTCCTGCTGGCACTCTGGTCATCCAGCTCAATGCTACTGACCTGGATGAGGGCCCCAACGGGGAGATTGAGTACTCCTTCAGTGGGCACGCACCGCCACGTGTCCGGGAGCTCTTCCGCGTGGAGCCTCGGAGTGGGCAGGTGCTGCTGAAGGGCCGCCTGGACTATGAGCGGGCCAGCCTCCATGAGCTCTACGTACAAGCCAAGGACCGTGGGCCTTCAGCTGTGGCTGTGCACTGCAGGGTGCTTGTGCACCTCCTCGATGTCAATGACAATGCGCCAGAGGTGACCCTCACCTCTGTGTCCACACCCGTGCTGGAGGATGCCCCCCCAGGCACTGTGATCGCTGTCATCAGTGTTCTGGACCGGGACTCTGGGGACAACGGGCGTGTGAGCTGTGAGGTCAGCCCAAATGTGCCATTTGAGCTCCGCTCCTCCTTTCGGAACTACTACACGCTGGTCACCACGCAAGCGCTGGACCGGGAGGTTGTGCCCGAGTACAACGTAAGCATCACGGCTCGAGACATGGGCTCACCTGCCCTGCTGACCCGCAGCACCCTCACCATCCCTGTGTCTGATGTGAACGACAACGCGCCGCGCTTCCTCCAGCCCTCCTACAGCGTCTATGTGATGGAAAACAACGCACCAGGTGCCTCCATCTGCTCTGTCAGTGCGTTAGACCCTGACTGCCAACAAAACGCCTACCTGTCCTACTCCATTGCCGACGGGCACATCCACGGCATGCCTGTGGGCACCTACGTGTCTATCAACTCAGACAGCGGGCACATGTACGCCCTGCGCTCCCTCGACTATGAGCAGATCCGCAGCTTCCAGATCCAGGTGCAAGCACAGGACGCGGGGTTTCCCCCACTCAGTGCCAACGTCACCGTCCACATCTTTGTGTTGGACCAGAACGACAACGCTCCGGTCATCGTTTCCCCCATGCCGCGCAACGGCTCCGTTGCCACTGAGCTGGTGCCGCGATCAGCCAGGCCTGGCTACCTCGTGGGCACGGTGTCAGCGGTGGATGCGGATGCGGGGCTGAACTCTCGCCTCTCCTACCAACTCCTCCAGGCTACTGACTTCACCCTCTTCAGCGTAGCCCCCGACACGGGTGAGCTGCGCACGCTGCGCTCCTTTCTGGAGCAGGATGCGAGCCGGCAGCAGCTGGTGGTGCAGGTGCGGGACGGTGGACAGCCAGCCCTCTCTGCCACCGTGTCCCTCCTGCTTTCGGTGGTGGAAACCATGCCCCAGACTCTCTCCGACTTCAGCGAGTTCAGCCTCCCTCCAGAGGTCTCCTCCTCTTCCCCGCTCACCCTCTATCTCCTTGTCTCCCTGGGCTCCATCTCCTTCACCTTCCTTCTCGCCATCCTCATTCTCACAGCCATTCGCTGCCGCGGAGAGCGGCGCTCCCGCCAAGGGGACAGCTGCTCGCCACCTCGCTGCCACTGCTGTCCTGGGTCCAGACCCTCCTCTGATGGCCTGAAGACTTCCAACCTGACGGCACAGCCTCCTGCAGGGACCACGACTGCCACCTGCCTTGATGTGCCTGCGGGCGGCCCCCCAGGCTACTGCTACAAGGTCTGCCTTGGTCCTGAGTCTGCTCAGAGCGACTTCATGTTCCTCAAACCCTGCAGCCCCCCCCGGAACAACGAGAAGGATCCCGGGAAGCGGTCCCGGCCAGACCAGCATCTCCAGGTCTCCAAAGAGGTAAGACATTGCCCAGCAGTGCTTAGCGGCACTCCGCAGTCCCCCCAGCCCCCTCCATCAGCCTCTGCCACGAGGGAAACCAGGCACGGCTTCTCCCAGAGAACAACCGGAGCCTTTGATCAGTGCGGGAATTAGGAGCCGTCAGGCAGCGGGATCTCCACCGAGCTTCCCGACGGGTCTAATTACCGGGGGAGCGCCAGGCTTGGCTGAGGCGAGAGGAAATCCCTTCTCACCGTCTTTTGTACCCATTAGAGGCAAGAGAGATGCTCCAGGGCCCCAGGGGCAGTGGGATGGTGGGGGTGGCTTCTCCTTGGCGTGGGTAAGCAATTCACACTGGGACAGTGTGAGCATCGCTGCTGCTCTGCTCCCCCTGTGCTGGCAGGGGCCCGCAGCGTCCCGGGCCTGGCTGCTGATCTGCACCAGGCTGTGCCAGCAGGCAGGGAGTGGGGTCTTCGGGGCAGGATTTTGATGTCAACATTTGTTAGGTATTGAAATGAGGAATGTCTCATTTTCCCGAAGAAAGACTCTCCAAAACACGATTACAAGGATGGAGAGTGATGAGGTGTCTAATCCACTTACATTTGACTTTTAATAAACCAGCCCTTCCGAGGAGAGCCCAAGACTCTCTGCCAAGAGAGTCTCTCCATGTGTCTCCTTGCACCCCCGGACTCTCTCCCCTAATACTTAATTAGATTTTCCTGCAGCTTTTGCAACCCTCCTGGGACATCAAGAACACAGCTGATTTCTGCATCTCTCACCATTTAGTACCTCAGACCTCGGCTAAGTAAACATTGCACATGCAAAAAAGGCTGTTAAAAATTAGCAGAAATAGGAAAACCACCTGTCTCTCCCCAGAATGACAGGCTTAAAACCCCCAGAGGCAGAGGACAAGCCCAGAACCACCCCAATATCTCAGGAGGGTGAGGAAGGTCCAGAAGGGAACAGGCTGATTCCATGCTGTCTCAGTTTCCCCAGAACAGGAATGTGCTGCTTGATTCTCCACAAAGGACACAGGGAAAGGGGAGATGTCCTGCATCCCTGCCTGCTGAAGCCTTGTGCTGGCAGGGCTGGGTTTTTTGACAAAGGGTCCCAGGGCTGATTGACAGAGGGTCCCAATAACCAGCCTTGCTGTTCCCTGTGTTTTCCAGGCCAAGCAGCCCAACACAGACTGGCTGCCTCCGAGCGCACAGAGACCTGCCCTGAAAAGGTACCGAGTCCAGCACTGGGGAACACAGGGAGAGGTGGAAGGGGGATATGGGAATGGGGAGGTTATGTCTGACACAGCTTTGAACCAGTCTCTTCTCTTTAGCTCCCAGAGCCTGGAAGATATGGGGGAAATCCGTAGAGCCCTCCAGAAGGAACACGAGAGGCTGTGCACACTGGTGACCCCTGTCTCTGGTTAGTATTGGGATACTGGGGCTGATACAATTTCAGACCCTCTGGTCACTTTTGGAGGTGCAGTGGGGGCATCACATCCCTGTTCCCTGCAGTGGTGAAGTTTTGTGGGTGGAAGGGGTGTCCAGGCACCAGGATGGAGGCTGGTGACACAGGGATTGCAGCCTGGGACGTGGATGTGACCTGAGCCAATCTTACACTCATCTTTTCTCCAGAGTTTCAGAAGGCTTCAGCAGGCCCCAACAGCATCTGGACACCCCAGTACAGCCCCTTGTACCCAGCCCTGGATTATCAGCACAACGTTTACATCCCTGGCACCCCCACTCTGCTTTCCAGCAAGGATGGGCCCCTGTTCCTGGGCCGGGAGAACAAAAACAGCTTCTCCACCTTTGGCAAGAGGAAGAAGATGACAACTTACTGTGACATGCATGACAGTGTGGTTATCAACAACGACCTGAAATAGCCTGGATGGCTCTATCCTTGGAATCTTCTGCATTATTTCAGCTGCCAGGTCCACCCACAGCACGCACCTCCATGTATGGAGCACTCAAGACTTTATGGGGCTGCTGGGAGAGTGGCTCAACAGAGCACGTGGGAAGGATTTAAGGAGCAAGAGACTGAAAATTACAGGGATTGGGGGGTGGTGGCGGGGGGAATTTCTCCCATCTCATCTTGCAGAGCTGTATTGGCAGCAGGTGCTGTTTGAGGTCCATATGACCAGATTTAAGCACATCTGCCTTGAGTTCACTCATTCCCGTGTCCCCTTAGGGACCATTCATCTCTGTAAACATTGTCACTCCTTTGTCTTGTCTGGCTGTATGAATGTACTGAGCTGCATGCCTGTATCTCTGTCCCAGTAGGCATGGAAAGCGTGTCCAGACCAAGCCTGGTTCAGCCAAGCCTGACCTTACCCACTGGGACAGTGACCATTGCTCTGTCCCGGAGATCCAGCGGGATGTGTTGCATGTCTAGAGCAGCAATTGGTGTCTGTTTTCTCTGGGAAGTGAGTGCAAAACCCAGCCTTCATGAGTGCTTCTCTTCCAGCCCTGATCCAGCACCTGCAGGGCTGGACATAGCCCGGGTCCAGGGCAGAGCCAGCCTTTGCTCAGGAGCAGCACGTGCACACACGGACTGGATGGCCAGAGGGGCTGCTAGCTTAAGCACCTGAGAGATGCACAAGGTGAGGCCCTGCTGGGTAGCTCTCTAGCCCAAGGCAACATCATCTGAACAAAAAACAGTTTCCAATCATTGGAGTGACCCCAGCACAGGTGACAGTCTCTTCCCTCCAGCCCCTGCCCTCACTCGGATCTCTGTGTTCCCCAAGTCCTGAATGCCTGGAGGAATCCCTGCACTGGGGGCCCCACATGCACAGGACAAACTTCTCCAAGTGTGCCCTGTTTCTCTTTTAGAACCTTTAGCTGGCAGTCAGGAGCCCTCAAGGGCAGGACTCCAGCCCCAGCACAGTCTCTCCCCTGCCTTGTGCACCCTGCACCTGTCCACCAGTCTGTCTGTCATCACTGCCAATTGCTCTGGTCATGGGACAGTTCATTTTGAATCCATCTGTGCAGAACATGACAGCTCTTTCTAAACTGAGTTTGTTTCACTCTGTCTGATTTGTACCAATAAATTGTATTTTAATAGCTCACCCTGGCTCCTGGCTGTCCCTGAGTTGCACATGACAGCAGGGATTGCTGCACAGCTCTTGGAGCAGCACTCCCAGCTCCAGGAAATACATCTGTCCTTCTGAGTTCTGGAGCAGAGAGCTCATTTTATTCACTTCACCTGGATTCTGGGGCTCAGGGTCCCTTTCCCTACTTCCCTGGGCTCAGGAGCACTCTGGAGTCATGGCCAGAAGGAGCTGGAGATGTCACACAGCTCCTTGCCCAATGCTCCAGCTCGGGCAGGGGGAAATTTGCACCATGGTGGGGGCATCCACAAGCTGCTGGGGAGAGGGGCTGGACGTGGCACTAATGGCAGAACAACTCGTGGTTGTTACAGTGATTTCTCTGGTTAATTTACCCTTAAACCCTGTGTCCTGGATAGCCACTCACAGCTTGCCTCAGGGGCCACAGAGATAACCTGGATCTGTGCCAGCTGTAGGGGCCAGCCCCCTGGGGATAGGCAAGCCTGTGTTTGTTGGTGGGATGTCTCTTGGCTTGATGTGGGAAGCAGTTGGCCTCCAGATGAAGTCCTGAGGTGGCCAGGCCACGGTTGTCCTTCCCATACCCTGAACCTGCTGGTGGCTGGCTTGGGGAGGCTGCAATGCGGCTTTTGGGATTAACCCAGAAAAGTCCTTGTCTGCAAGTGGGCAATGTGCTCTTCAGTGGAAGCAGGGCCAGGGAGCACTCAAAGGGGCCTCGTGGGGCCAGGGGCCCAGGAGGACAAAGCTTTGGACATGAAAGAGACCTGGCTGCTTCTGGTGACTTGAGTCCCAGCTCACATCTGCCTGACTGCGGGTAGATGAAATATTCCCTGTCCCAATTAGACAGTGGGATGAAGGATTTTTTGCTGCCAAGTGCATTCTTCAAGGGTCTCCAGAGAGTGTTAAGGGTAAAAAAGAACCCCAAACAGCTACCCTGAGACCTCTGTACAGTAACAGCCTGTTCCACTGCTTCAAAAGAACAAGGGAATTATGTAAAGCGATACAATAAGATTAATAACAGCCTCAAGAAGTAATAAAAGCATCAAATGGACCTGAGTCCCTGCAGGGCAGCAAGCCTCTCCCCCTCCTGGATTAACCCTGGCGGTATCTCTGCTGTGTTTTTAGGTGGTGCTGGTCAGGCACTGGGAGAGGATGCAGCCCCCCTGCAGGAGGGCCCGGCTGCTTGCTGTGCTCCAGCTCACACACCAAAAGCACCCAGTGCACCCTGAGCTTCATGGCACCAAGGGCTAAATGAGCACATGGAACTGCTGTTTTGTATCAGATTCCCAGGTGTGGCTTCCCAAAGAGGAATTGATCTCAAAACTGACCCCCAAAACCCACAGGCATTTGAAAGTTGCATTTTGTATCTCTGTCTTTGGAAAATCATGGGGTCGAGCAAAAGGGCACAGGGATGCCACCTCCCCTGTCACTCCCAGAGTATTTTCTTGGCATTTTTTGATCCCTACTACCAAGCCTCAGTGATGCCCACTGAATCGCCTCCATGTGCTGTCCATTACTCCTGACCATGACAAATACACACACACACACACACACACACACACACACACACATATCTGTACTTCTTGCTGACCCCCAGGTTTGCATGTTCAGTTCAGGCACCTTCCAAAAGGGATTTGAGCAGCACAGCACCCAGCCCAGGCCCCAGCACCCCACCTTCCCCCAGAATCTGCTTTTGCTTAGTTGAAGGAAAACCTGCACTGACAAGAGCTCAGTTCCAATCTTTCATTTCAATCACCATATTGATAAAAAGGACAATAAAAAGGGACATGCTTTAGGGGAGAGAGGACTTGCATAAATCTAATTCAACCACACTACTATCCCTCTTCAAAGGGCATGTCTGGTCAGAATCGTCCATCTAATAGATGAGATCTCCTTTGAAGATCTCCCATAGGGACAGGGTCTCATTAAAAATGCAAGGTCTTTGCCCTACAACTAGTTATTTTTACAGCTCTCCCTGTGCTAACACTCCTGCACAGCCGATGAGCATTAGCTGGTTTCTGTAGCCTGGTAATGCACTGGGCATGAGAGCTCCTTTGGAGATCTGCTCAGCAGAACACTCTCAGGATGCCCCTCTCACATGTTCCAGCTCTCTCAGAGATCCAGAGGCAAATTTGGCTTTCAGGGACCTGCCAGCCAGCTTGAGATTTGCTTCTAGGACGGTGGGAAAGCTGCCATGTGGTGCAGTTGGCTGCAAAACACTTCAGGCCATGCAAGGCAGGCACATAGCGCTTCTGGGCACCAGCACAAACAGGGGTTTGTGCTCTCACAGTGCTGAACAGACTGCTCAGATGGAAACATCATTTGTACCTCTGTAATGACTTGAAAATGTGTCCCAGAGAGACAAAACGAATCCAGAGGTAGAGAGAAAAGAGGCCAGAGGGAAAGACCCAGAGGGGCCGATGCTCAGTTCTGCTCCCATCTGCCACACACGGAGTCAAGAGGCAGCCAGCAAATTCCCCAGGAACCTCAGCATGGACACAGCACTCTGCAGGCTGCTGGGTCAGGCTGGCTGGAGCCTTGGGTACACATGGGTCTCAGCTCCCAGAGGGCATGGCATTGGCAGGACAGAGCCAAAATCCATGTGAACCTCTCCATGGACCTTGGATCCAGCCCAATCTGTGGCACTCAGTGGTTAATTAGATCCTCCAAAGATGCTAGGAATTTATTTTTCTTCCTCTCCTCTCCTCTCCTCTCCTTGATGATGCTGGAACACGCCCTAATTTATTCAAGACTGGGCCAAGATCCATTCGGATTTCTTTTCAAATTGCCTCTTAAATGTCCCCCTGAACTCACCAACAGAGCAGCCTGTTTCTGGCTGGATCCCTTCCTCCTGTTTCCCTTTTGATCTTGGTAGAGGTTTTGTAGAAATAAATATCCTTTATCTTCTGTCATAATAACTTAGCCTGTGCCACACTGAAAAACGTCTGCATGATTGTCACATGCTGATTTTCTCTGCTGCTTTGCACCTTTCCCTTTTTCACTGCTCTGAAAACATCAGTTGCCAACTCCTCCACAGAGATCAGATGGAAGAACAGGCCAGGGCTGAGGGAAGCTTTTGCTTCCCAGTTAGCCTATAATGTATTTTCAGTTTAAGTGGTGGAAATGTCACTGGCTCTGTTTTGCAGCATTCACTCAAGTGGAATTAATGCTTCTTGTTAGTGATAATATGACTTAATCAGCTTAATTACTTTGAGACATAAGTAGACACCTTTGTGTATTGAATAACTCATGACACACTGGACCAAAAAGCACGAATGAAGGCTTTGAAAATAAATTAAATATGACCCCTAGTGCAGCCTGCACTTTGACTAATGATTCTTCTCCCATGAAATTCAATGACTTACAAATCCTACATTTGAATAAATGATACATTTTTGCATGTTTTAAACAATAGCAGTGATTTTTATTTCAGCATTTGGGATTCAGAGTGCTTCTGCAGCGCCAGGAAGCAAGGCAAACAAGCTCATGTTAAACGGATTGAAAAATAAAACATTTGTGCAGTCAACTATCAGAAATACATTCAGAGGATCTGCAGGCATTCCTGATGAGATATTTATTTTAATTCATTGCTAGGAATATCTGCAACAACAGGTGAAAAAAACTGCATCAGAAGAAATTGAGAGAGAGCGAAGATTCCCAGAAGGTTCACTAAGGTCCTCACATCCAATTCGTCCATTTCAATAATGTCTACAAGAGAAAATATCATTAAATAGCGCCAGAAGTCTCTTATCATACATTTTGCCTGCATAGAAAATAAATCACACAAAGGAAATAGAAGCAGGAAAAGCAACCATCAATCAAGAAAATTATTATGAACATTTGTAGGATTTCTGATAGGCCAGGATGCAGAGACTCTCTGACAGCAGGCTGCATGGGAAATAGAAAAATTGGGGTTAAACTGTTACATGAACCCAGAGAAAGATGAGCTGTCTGAATTTGTTCTGTTCTATTGCAGTGAGTCACCCAATTTCTGTGTCCAAATTTTCCTCTGAAAAGCACTGGAGTTCAGCATGGTGCAGACAATAGCACAGAGACTCAGCCCAAGTATGTCTGAAATTCAGAGGTTAGCTTAGCCTGTAGCATCACAGGGGAGCCTCATTGGCTTGATGAGTTTACTTTTAAGTCCATGTCCGTATTTCTTGGTATTTTAGCTGACAGGAATATTTTTCATACTGCCGAGGGTGAAGGCTGGGGACTCTAGGATTAATTTATCATTGCTCTTACTCTGCAGTTGTTCAGTCTCTATTGACTAAATCTCCAAAGCTCCCCAGAGTACAGATGGAACATATCTACACAGGGATCTAAATGTAAGGAGTTTAATCTGAGGTTGAATCCCACCTGTAGGATTTCATCTTGTCCCCACTTTCCTTCTTGATCTCCCTTTAATATCATTTAGAAGAGACATTCCCAGCACCCCTCTGACATTAGCTTTTTACCAGAGATCAGAGGAAAAGATTTGCCATTTTCTTTGAGTGTCCTCTAACAGACCAAACTTCAGGAATGCAATCCTGAAATTAGTCCCTAAAACTAAAATTTATCTTTTTCCTGTTTCTAGGAAATGCAATGTTCTAATCCATTTGCGTACCTAAACCACCTCTTCCTCTTAATCTGTCCCTGTAAAACAGTCTGACAGCTGCCCCAGAAGGTAAGGAGATCATCAAAAGGATGATCATCTGGGGCTGAATCCTTTTCCTATGCTCCCCAAGAGTCCTCTTGGCTCCTTGTGCCCCATGACATGAACCATTTAACCCCTCAGTGCCTATCAGGTATCACACACCCTGATGGTTGTGCTCCTTTGATATCTGAACAGACTCCAGCAGGCTCCTGCTGTCACTGCAGGGATCACCCTCTGGCCTTTTTTCTGCCTCTTCTTGGGTCCAAATTTCATATCTGCTGTAGCTCCCTAGTGCATTTCAACCAAATCTGCCCCTGCTTTGAGCAAAAGCCTGGCCCAATCAC